TTTTCCCGCCAAAAAATATTTTGTATTTTGTGGACCTAATTTTGTTATATTTCCTTATATATTTATGATATCTTTTATTAAAAGAAGGGTAATTTAGTCATTTTGTACATAAAAGGGGTATTTTTAAAAATGGACATCCAAATGGGGCATTTTTGAAAAGGGGTATTGAAAAAGGGGCATTTTTGTGATTCTCCCTAATTTTAAACTTATAAGGAATTTAAATATTATAAATATTTAAATTTTATAAAACTTTTAAAGTATCTATAATATTTCAATTCTATAAAAAAGTTTATATATTAATAACATTTGAACTCTATAAAAATTATAAATATATATACTATAGAGATAATTTAAAAGCAAACTTTTAAATTTACTCGAATTATATATCTTCTAAATAAAATTATTATTAAAAAGAAAAATAACATGATATTTAATTTCATGGGACGGGATTATATGGTGTGACGGGTTTGTGTCGATATTAATACGGAACGATATACTACGAGTGAAATCTTAGAATTAACAACCAAAATACAATTATGAAGTTTGGGTCGATATTAAAACTTTTATGAAGTTTCAAATATTATAAATATTTAAATTTTATAAGAATTTATAAGAAGTTTAAACATTGTAAATATTTTAAGATAATAAAACGTTTAAAGTATTTATAATATTAAAATTTTATAAAAAGTTTATAATATTAATGATATTTGAACTCTATAATAATTAAATATATATATATATATATATTATGGGAGCCGTTTAAAGCAAACTTTTAAATTGACTCAAATTATATATGTCTTTTAAATTAAAATATTATAAAAAACAATAACAAAATAATGTTTAATTTCACGGGACATGGTTATATGGTAGGACGGGTTTGAATCAATATTAATACGAGGCAGTACTACGAGTGAAACCGTATAATTAACTATCAAAATACAATAAATGCTAAACAAAATAAACAATATTAACAAAATAAATTCAACTTAAAATTTCAATTTTTAGTTATCAAAAATCGACCCGTGGGTTTAATGCGGAGTAATATATATATAATAAGTACATTTAAATCAAACAAAACAATAGATAATTTTCAAAAAATTTATAGCCCCGCGGTGTACCGCGGGTTAAAATCTAGTCTATATATATTTGTTCCCACGAAATTAAAAGGAGGTGAGTTGAAGTCATTATTTATGACCGGGTAGCCAAATGTGTCAACACCTCTTCACAATTTAAAAACTGATTGATATTTAATATACTGCAGATACCCATTAATTTTCTACATTTTCTTTTGTTTTTGTCAACTGGAGTACTACATAAAATTTTCAAAATCCCAATTACACAAATAATCACAGTCAAATAGGATTTTAAAAAGACAAAACCGACGAATTCATATAATCCTCATAAAACAAAAGTCCAACGAATAAAACCATAGAAAAACAGCAAAAAAGCAAAAGAAAACTAAGAAGTAAGAATTAAATTTTGACTGACATATAAAAAGGAAATAATGCAAATACCCAATAATGTATAATTAAAAGATATTAGTCATATGTTCAATAACCTGATACGGATAGAAAACGACGACCGTGGCGTACATTTTTTTTATCAAGCACGTTACACGACGAGACTCGCCTGGAACGTGTCAAACTATCATCATACGTGTCTAACTAAATATAGCCAATTATATCTTTGGTTTCATATTTTGGACCGCTTGTCCATAATTTCCTCGGGAACCAAAACAGGTAAATTAATCTATTTTCTTAGATCAAGGATTCGACGTCGTGATTTTGAGCTGCATTCTTTTTTTTTCTATAGGTTTCCTAGCGCAGAAGTTCACTACAGTGGATCAGAATTTTATTTTAGTAATTTAAGCAAACTTTTTATATATAATTTCATTTCGAAAATGAAATCTACCTTTCGAATATGTCTTTTTTCTCTGCCGCTTCCATTTGATGCTTGTGAATAATTTTCGCTATTAGTACTATATATATCGATTTTTCTAATCATTTTCTCCGTAGTAAAAGACAAAGTAACTTAAAGAAGCTCGTTAAAATCCATTAGTTGGAGAGGACTCGTTCCAACACATTCTACACCTCTTTTTAAGTCTCTGATCCCCAAAGATATAATATATTTATATCAACAATAAAAATAAGGAATAATACTTTTCCCAACCCGTTGTCTCAGGACAATATCCAAATTAGACACTAGCTAGTAACTAAAATATTTTTTCCTTTGCCCTAGCTAGTAACTCCGTGAACTTATATTGTTTATAAAGTTAAAAAAGATATATATCGTAAAAATAAAATAAAGTTTACAAACAAGTGATAGCAACGAATTAGTTGTTGATAGCACTGATTTATAAGACTAGACTAATACATACAGTATTTTTTTGGTGAATATTATAAATGAAAATTATAAATGTATATATATGGTAATTCTCCAACTCTTTTCCTCTTTAAAGAGGTAAAGCTGCCACCATTTGACATCATTCTGAATTTCTGATTCCGGAACGTTGTATCATATCTGCTCGTGTAAGTCTTAGATCGATTTAGAACTTAGAAGAACCATACTTATTGTTTTATCCTAACTAATATATACAATATATCCATGTAAAATCTTGTTTTTTTGTGAATTGATATATTTTTTTTTCTGAATGAGTGTGTCGGCTTCCGTTACTTAGATGAAGGGTTTTCACTTTCGTTTTCCCGATAATGAAGAAAAAGAATATACAACCAAATTTACACAAACATAATGGCAAATTAACTATTTTTGGAACGACAAGTCGAACTTTGTCTATTAGTCCTCCACGTAATGCATGCATGCGTTATATCTTTTCTTTTTTTTTTTTTTTTTTCAACACTAATAATACTCGTTATATCTTTTCTATTCCTCGCAAAGCACGTATGTAATCTTCTTAACTTTCAATACTAATAATACTCGTTTTAAAATGTGTCCAATTAAACATTTTCTGTCCAAGTTCATTTTCGACGTTTGAGTTGTCAATTTTCCACTTTTCTTAATTTGTTGACATTTGTCAATGTTTCCATATATAAAATTTGAAACGATAATAATTCTGTTTGATAACCCTTTTTTGCGTAAATAATAGTATTTAACTTATGTTTTAATTTGAATTGAGCTTGTAGCTAAATAGGTATTACTAATTAATTAGAAGAAACATTAATTGTTTTTTCATTATATTCTGTTTATTCGACATTTTTATCCATTAATATTATGTTGTATTATATATTTATACTAGGATTTAACCCGCGGTACACCGCGGGGTCATATTTTATTTCTTTAATTAACAATGTTTAAATTTTTTTAAAAAATAGTATTCAAATTAGATGATATAAATTTTTGATGTTTTTAAATTTGACCCGTAGAACATATATAATTCAGTAACATAGTATTGTAATTACACATTTAGAAGTGTCAAAAGAGATTAAAAGATTCAATATCCGTTGTTGCACTTCTTTCTCTGTTTGTATAACCCGTCAAAATAAAAATTAGAATTTAATATTGTCATTTTCTCTTTACAAATTTATTTTATGATGTGTTAGTATTACGATTCTCAATTTTTTTTATATGCAAACAATATCAAATGCATGGAGAAGAAGGTATGATACATTTCTGCTTTATATTTAAATATTCAATATATTGATAAAAACTGAAATCAAATTTTTTTTAAAAAAACTAAAAATTGAAACTCTAAATTCAATCCGACGACTACTTCTATCTCCTCGATCATCTCTAAGCCTAGAAAAAAACAAAAATAATCCAAATCAGTACCTTCAATACAATCGAGAAAGGAGTCTCTAAACTGAAAAGATGATTTCAATTCAAGAACAATCACCTATTATGGTCACGATCACGGCATTAGCCATAGTCATCATCATCTCTTCTACCACGTTCTCTTCTTTCACTACGCTCGGTTCTATGATCCATGACGACTGTTTATATGATGACGCTCACAATTTCTGTATGTTCTTTCCATTTATATCGCTTCTTCTAAGAGAGACTTTAGAGTCATTTTTCTGTCCTTATCACGGCCATTCTCTCTTTCTTTATCATTACCTTTTGAAGTCTCTCTTCCATGGTCACGTGTTTCTCTCTGCACAATTAAAAACACAACTCATAAATTAGTTTTAAGAATCAATGAAACTAAACGAAAATCATACACAAAATCAATGAAACTAAAATAGATTACAGCTAGTAGATAAACTAATGATATAAGAATAACAAAATTGTACTATATTTATAGTGTTAAGAGAGTTGTTTGTAATTTTCGGGTTGATAGAATATAATTTCTCGAATAAATAATGAAATCAAATCTAAACGATAAAAATTTTTTTTGTAAAGAACGCATTTGGATAGTAATTATTATATGTGCATGTATACTATTAAATAGGTATTAAAACAGAAATGTAGGATACTGTTTAGATTTTTTATAGAAATCTTAAACTAATTAGATTCCAAGATTTGTTACGTGAGAGTAATTAGGGGGATCACATTAAATAATCGAAATTTTGAAAAGAAAGATGCGAGATTATTGCAAAAGATTAGAGCAAATATTTTTAATCCGGCGAATATATTTAATGTTTTACTTGGAGATGACAGATGAGTAAATAATTTATTGATTTTAATTTTCTTGTTGTAGATATGGTTAGTAGGATTATCGAAAATGTTAAGTTGGTAGTAATTAAATGAGATTTGAGATCTCGGATGAAAATATTTTTCAAAATATAGTCGAGTTAATATTGAGAGATTTGGGGAATAATTGGTTAGTAACTAATTGTTTAAAATATGGATCTTTAATTCAAAACGTGTAATCAATAATAACAACCATTTAATGTTTTTTTTTTTGTGCAAAATTAAAGGAAGATCCGTTTAAAACGATTTCGGGTCAAAAAATAAACAAAAACCCAACCCACCAGTGGCATTCTATTGTAAATACTTATCAACTTCAGAATTTATTTGCTAAAAATCATCCAAAAATGTATATATAGATAGTATTCTTTTTAGAGATAATCATTAATTAGAAATAAAAGATGGTTCGGGTCCATTTAACAACTTTATATAAACTCGACGAGATGGAACCAAAAACACACAAAACACACCAAAAGAAATAAAACCAAATACCAAAATATTCATCACTATATCAAAAAAGGTAAAGAAAAATGAGGTCTTCAACAAAGAACATCGAACAAGCTCAAGAAAGTTGTTATCACGAGTGGATGAGTTTGCAGTCTCAACGCATAAATGAGGTCAAACAACTCTTAGTTCAACGACGATCTCACCGCGATGAAGAACACGATAAGAAGCTCCGTGAGTTAACGGGAAAGATCCTTGGAGATTTCAAAGATTATGCCGGAAAAAGAGCTGATCTTGCTCACCGATGTAGCTCGAACTATTATGCACCGACGTGGAATACTCGTTTAGAGAACGCTCTAATTTGGATGGGTGGTTGTCGACCATCTTCTTTCTTTAGGCTCATTTATGCTTTGTGTGGGTCACAAACTGAGATACGTGTGACTCAGTTTCTCCGCAACATCGACGGCTACGAATCTTCAGGTAGGGTTTTGGACGTTTTCGGTTATTTCGGTTTTAAGAATGGGTTTGTTTGCTAACTAGACACTTTTAGAATAATAATTATGAGGAATTAAAAATAAAATAAAAAGACAATTTTTTGGTTCGGTGCAGCAAATTTTTGGATTGGCGTGGTTTATCCGATTTTTCATATTTTCCAATAAAGAGTTTTGAGAATTTTGAAAAATGAAATTAACATTAGATTGGTTTGGTTTTAATCCGATTTTATGATCATTCCGATTTAACCGAGTTTAAGAATCTAGTATTCGGTTCATTTTTTGTTTCAAACAAAAATGTTTTGTTTTTGTTTTGTTTTTTTTTTTTTTTTGAAATATAAAAATGATGAAAGCAAACTTACTTCGGTTCCGGTGGTTCGGGTTTGGTTCAATTTGGTTTGGTTTGACAGGTGGCGGCGGTGGCGCATCACTTAGCAATCTAAGTGCGGAGCAGCTAGCAAAAATCAATGTGTTACATGTAAAAATTATAGACGAAGAAGAGAAGATGACCAAGAAAGTCTCAAGCCTACAAGAAGACGCGGCGGATATTCCCATCGCCACTGTGGCTTACGAGATGGAGAATATCGGAGAGCCTAACATGGTGGTGGATCAAGCTTTCGACAAGCAAGAAGAAGCTATGGCCGGTTTATTGGCCCAGGCTGATAATCTAAGAGTGGATACTTTAGCAAAGATCGTCGAGATTCTATCGCCGGTACAAGCAGCGGATTTCTTACTCGCCGGGAAAAAGCTTCATCTTTCGATGCATGAGTGGGGAACTACGAGAGATCGTCGCCGTCGTGAATGTATGGTTGACGCCGAAAGCGATACCGGAGGAGAGGAAGAAAACTAGTCGTTATTATATTAGAGATGATCTTAATATTATAGGTACGTGTCATATATAAAATTACATAATAACAAGATTTTTAATCTTGATATTATAAAGTTATATATATGGCATATATTTTAGGGATATATAACCCTTATATGTGTTACTTTTATTTTCTGAAGACTTATGGTAGTAAGGTTGCAATGCGTTATATATGTTGGTTTATATTATAAATAATTAAAATAGGACTTTGTATAAGATAGAGATGGATGTTTTTTTAATGAATGTAAATTTATTGAACAAAAAAGTTTTATTATTTCAGAAATATAGTTTTATATATAATTTTGTCTAAAAAATTATTGTTTGATAAATTTACATTTATAAAATACATTTTGATGTTTTAAATATTTTATTTGTCAAAGATATATTTGAATGCCGACAAAATTAAATTTTTGAATTTTTTTTTTAGAGTTTATTCACGTGACATTTTACGAAATACATATTCGATGCATCATGCATGTGAATAAATGGCCCACGCCCCATGGAGACGACAAATAATGAGAGAGAAAAAGATCTCGTGTCGACAAGTAAGCTAGGACATTTTTATCCAAGCAGTGGATTTTTATATTCTAAATAAGTAGATATTTTCTCTAATTTTATTTTGTATGTTAGGGAATATCCAAAAAGAAAATTGTTGGAGTATCTAATGCCATATAAATAGATGATTAATTAATAAATTGTTGGAAGCAAATAACCACTATTATGAGAATTTAATCTTTATACGTTTCGAAAACTTACATGGCGGTTATATACAGGATCGATCTTACTATTTTTGTGGCTTAAAGCATATTTGGCTTTGAAAAAAAAAAATTTAAAAAATTAAAAAACATCATCCATGGGGACTCGAATATGAGTTGAGCTGAGCCAGTTCATGAGTTGCGAGCTCATTTTGACACCCTACCAAGCTCTATATATCTTAAGATAAGATTCCACCAAATTTGAAGTATTCATAATGGTGAAACAAAAATACATTATAAGATTCCAAGTATTCATAGTGATCAAATTCTTAACTTTAAATCATTAAACCTAACCACTAATCCTCAGCCAATTCATGGTAATATGGTTACATGATTCATCCTGTAAATTGATTTGAGTCTGTTCAGTGCCATTTGATGATCACTAAAAACTAGTTTTTCTACAAATTGGCAAGAGATCAAATCTAATCATTTAAATGAAAATAACACACTAAAACCTTATTAAAACTGTTAAATTTAATCAACCCACTTGGTTGTTTTTTTCTTAGACTCAAATCAAAATAAATTTGATTTAAGCGTCAGAAGTTTATCGAAAGAAAGATATCATTTCGGTGCCCCATGTATTTGCAACTCCAAGATTTAATTATCCTCCACTATTTTCAAATCATGACATTTTATGCAACAATTCTTAGTTTAAATCATCTCAAGATTTATGGACAGGACCGTCATCGAAGTCCACATATATTTGTAATTACAAAGCTATTAAATACACACAAAAAATCTGGGATATTCAATAGTAACAACAACTAGCCTTCACTATATTTAGAAGGCCCACTCGAAGCATCACCACGACCACACAAATCTAAGATCTTTTCCTCTTGTATTTGTTTTTAGCATTACTATTTTAATATAAGCAAGATTTAGACCCAAATAATAATAAAAAAATAATAATAATTGAAATTTAGTCTTTTTCTCCTCTCATGAACATTTCCAGAATTTGAGCTCTGTCTCTTCTAAGCCATGGAAGAAACATTCCAAGACTAAGATAATCAATAGCTCATCCTCGGATTTTTCATAAAGTTCCTTGTTCACCAAAGTGTCAAAACAATGGATAAAAACGGCATCGTTTTGATGCGAAAATACGAATTAGGTCGACTTCTAGGTCAAGGCACTTTTGCAAAAGTGTACCACGCACGCAACATAAAAACAGGAGAAAGCGTAGCGATCAAGGTGATCGACAAACAGAAAGTCGCGAAAGTCGGATTAATCGATCAAATCAAACGAGAAATCTCAGTGATGCGTCTCGTTCGTCACCCGAACGTCGTCTTCCTCCATGAAGTAATGGCGAGCAAAACAAAGATCTATTTCGCTATGGAATACGTTACAGGCGGAGAGCTTTTTGATAAAGTCTCTAAAGGAAAGCTTAAAGAAGACATTGCTCGAAAATATTTCCAGCAATTGATCGGAGCAATCGATTATTGCCATAGCCGCGGAGTTTACCACCGCGATCTCAAACCGGAGAATCTTCTTCTAGACGAAAACGGCGATCTGAAAATATCCGATTTCGGGCTTAGCGCTTTGAGGGAGTCGAAGCAACAAGATGGCTTGCTGCACACGACATGTGGAACACCTGCTTACGTGGCACCTGAAGTGATCGGCAAGAAAGGTTATGATGGAGCGAAAGCCGATGTTTGGTCTTGTGGGGTTGTGTTGTATGTGTTATTAGCTGGATTTCTTCCGTTTCACGAGCAAAATCTTGTCGAAATGTACCGGAAAATCACAAAAGGCGAATTCAAATGCCCAAATTGGTTTCCTCCCGAGGTCAAGAAGTTGTTGTCTCGGATTCTTGACCCTAACCCTAATTCAAGAATCAAGATCGACAAAATCATGGAGAATTCTTGGTTTCAAAAGGGTTTCAAGAAGATCGAAACGCCTAAATCTCCCGATAGTCATCAGATCGACTCACTGATCAGCGATGTCCACGCAGCGTTTTCCGTAAAACCGATGTCTTACAACGCGTTTGACTTAATCTCTTCGCTGTCTCAAGGATTCGATCTCTCGGGTTTGTTTGAGAAAGAAGAGAGATCAGAATCAAAGTTTACAACGAAGAAAGAAGCGAAAGAAATAGTGTCAAAGTTCGAGGAGATAGCATTAAGTAGTGAAAGATTCAATTTGACGAAGAGCAATGTAGGAGTGAAGATGGAAGATAAAAGAGAAGGAAGAAAAGGACAGCTTGCGATTGATGTTGAGATATTTGAAGTGACAAAGAGTTTTCATATGGTAGAGTTTAAGAAAAGTGGAGGTGATACAATGGAGTATAAGCAATTTTGTGATCGTGAGCTTAAGCCTTCTTTGAAAGATATTGTTTGGAAATGGCAAGGAAACAACAACAATAGCAACAATGAGAAGATTGAAGTGATAAATTAAATCTGTTTTTCATCTTAAGATTTTCTTGATTTGGTTGTTTTTCTTTTAATCTCTTTGTAAAATGTGAGATTTATGATAATGGCTGCAATCATCATCACATATCTTGGATTGTTTGTTTGTTTTTTCGGGTCAATAGTTACACAAAGATTTGAAGTAAAGGAAAGTGACAGAAAAAAAAAAAAGATGGATTAACAAATTGTATATGGTTAAAAGGTGCTCTGTGCTCAACTAGAATTTAACATATTTATAATAACAACACAAATTTGAAGTAGCTAATGGTGTGGCAACTGTCTTATAGGAGCCAGATATCAGCGACTAACTCTTCACACCTTTACTCAAAACGGAAGTTTTGATCTGAACTATCTCTTGTTAGACAAATTCTATCAATTTTTTTTTTTTTTTTTTGATATACCCGATCGGCTAATCCGATCAGCTCCGGAGGAAACGCACCGAAGTGCTACCATGTGGACTCGTCGCCAACACCTAGGTGTTGGACTACCACACTGCCTGATCCCGACTAATGCCCGGGGGTATCCAGTTAGCTTGATCCCGAATACCATGTGAATTGCTTGGGTCAAAGTACAAGCCCAGACTTTCCACACAAATGTGAACGATTTTTGTTTGCAGAGTGGATCGAACGTGGGTTAGACCACAGTCGTGTAGGCATATTCTATCAAATTCCAAAGAAATATTGTTTATTAGAGTTTGTGAATTTTACGACATGCTCTTTTCATGGCCAGCTTTTACGACACACTTGGTTTATTTTTTCCGCCTCAAAAGAGAGTACACTTATGTATCTTTATCGATAATCACTAGCTCGTACTTTAAATTCTAAAATCGATTGTTTGGCTTGCAATGCTATACTTTTTTTTTTCTCAAGATGTGTAGTTTTTGTAAACTCTACATGTTCAATTTGAGCTCCTAAACTGTCAGGTTAATTGTAGTTTATCAGTATACAAAAATAATTACCTAAATTTTGTTATAAAGTTATTTTCCCATTCCAACAAATCCCACGATATTTTTCGAAGTAAATTCTGCCATATTTCAAATCTTACTGCTTCGAAATATGGCAGAGATTAAGACCAAACTTCTGCGGAAAAAAGATTATTAAAAAAAAGAAATCAAAATCGCAAACGATCAAATGTGAAATAACAAACATGTTTATTCAATCAGTGTTTTCCCCGTATACACATCAATGATTCATATCTCACCACTCTCTTTAGGTCTAATTCTAATGTCTCTCACACACCATTCAAAGAACAAGAACATTACAATTCGTCAAAATCACATATACTTCACAAATCTAAAACAGATAACATAATTTCATTTTTCATCTTCCTAATCAGTATCAGAAAGTAAATAAGCTGGCAAAGAATGCGAACTAGAAACCGATTCGCCGTTTTCCGAAGACAAATTCTGCAATTTCGGTTTCAATTCTTTATTACAAAACTCATCATACTCCATTTTATCACCTCCTTTCTTCTTAACTTCAACAACAACCAAAGCTGGAGTCAATTCAAATATCTCAGCAGCAATTGACAATGGACCTTTCTTACTTCCTTCTCTTGAACCTTCAAGACTCACTTTACAATCCTTCTTTCGCACCGTAAAACTCACGATTTTCGCGATTTCCTCCAATTTAGATATGATCTGAGCAACAGGAGCACCAGACACAAACCTAGAGCCTTCACGATCATCCTCAAACAAACCCGAAAGATCAAAACCAGGCGAAAACGAAATGAGATCGAAAGCATTCAAACTCGCGGGTCTAGGCATCGAAAACGCCCTTCTCCTCCCATCAAAAGACTCTAAGTCATCCGGTTCAGAAACCGTAGAAGACCTCCCCGAAACCGATTCAATCGATTCGATCTCATCATCATCAACAACATTACAAAGCTGATGATCATCTTCAACATAAAACTTAATATGCTTAAAACCTTTCTTGAACCAATTAGTCTCCATAATCTCCGGCATTGTAAACCGTCTTTCCGGTTTAGTCTCCAACATTCGAATCAACAACCGGTTAATC